TGCAGCAGCAGTATTTCTTACATGCTCACAGCATGTATTGGCAGTAGCTCTCTGTACTAGTAGTAACTACGCAGCAGCAGCGTAGCAGAACTATTCCGCCAAGACCAAATACATTAAAATTGTCATGTACATTACCATGCCAATCCCTCCGAGAGAGAACTATAGAAGAATTAGAAAAATGTTTTAGATGAAGTACAGCATGTCACACTGCATGTAAATTTTATGACCTTTTTTGTGTCCAGTATGCACTTGAGGAGACATGTGATGAGCTAAAGAAAACTATTACAATCACATAATAACATCTAAGTATTCTCATATAAAAAGCAATAAACACCAAAATACAAAATCATTCTTAATCCATTTATTTATTTATTTAAAAAGCACTGGAAGGTTTTTTGTTTGTTTGTTTTTGTCGGAGGCAAACAATGAATCAAATCAAATTATTAGTCAAGTCTCATACCATACAATAAGTACTAAAAAAAAAGATATTTTAAAGCACACCAAAAAAAAAAAAAATGCATGTAATAAATAAAAATAAATTGCAGAATAATGCAAAACAAAGCGAATGAAAAAAAACGCTTAACATTAGGTCCCGCTCATGAAGGACAGAGGTTTTCAGCATTACGTTTTATCACCTGAGGAGATACATGGAAGCTTTTGTTTATTGACAAAACCCATCGGTTGACTGATATGAGACATGGCTGTAGACGGAGACCTCAGGAGATCTCATTAGACATCCTTTAGTGTGATCACTACAGACAATCCACCAATCAGTTCATAATCATTTTAGTGTGATGGACAAGATCTAGATTGTACGCCAAGCAACAAAGCAGTTCTCAAAATAAAAAGTCATCACTCTACATATTCTCAATCTAGCATCATGCTTAAAAGCAGCCGCGCTCACACACACACACACACACACATCTTAGTTCAATTGAGTTTGACCCGCAGAGATCAGATGCCTCAAACACAGCAAATGATGCTGCATTTTTCCCGAAGGAACTATAAAATACGCATTTTCTCTGCTATACGATTGCTAAGTTATCCTAAACTATCTAGAAAGCTATGTTTTGCATACTATATAGACATCTACAGTACGTAAACCAATACAAAGCATAAGAAACAAGACGTTCCAGTACATCAAACCAAATACAAAAGATAATAACTGAAATGAAAGACCACAAAACACACAAACAAATAAAAAAAATCAGACTTGATCCAGTGGTTTGTGATGGCTGTCCAGAGTACTAGCTGCAAATGTGTCGAGTAAAATGGGAGGGATATCAAATGCAAAGTTGAATCCGGACTGCTAAAAGAGGGCATTGTGAGGGAAAATCAAAAGACGCGATTACAAAGGTCTCAGTCTGTCGAGAATCACGCACAAAGCCCACCACAGCCTAACACAGTGTACCATTGATGCCGTCAATGGTCAACAGATCAATCAACCCGCTACAGGAAAACAACTACTAAAAGACGACAAAAAATCCCGGCCAGACACACAAGAATTGTGAGGAACACATCATATAATTAGCTACAGAACAAACAGAGTCTTATATACTATTCAGGTTTGGTTTGTTATTGTGGTTGAGAACTTATAAGTTGTCATCACACTTCAGGTTACTGCCAGCAGTTACTTAAAGCGCTCTGAATATTGCATGATTAGAAAATGGTGCGACGGACCATTAAAAACAGCTGTAGTTTTGAGACCAGACGAACGGCGATCAGATCTTTTGTATCCGTTACACTCCAAATTTAAAGCAAAATACAAAAGAAAGTGAAGAGTTCACAAAAATCAAGTCCATTTTCCTCACACTGGTTTAAGCACTCAGACGAAGGTGCACATTTAGACAAATGTATTGATTTATTGTGACAGGTCTCTATCCCCTTGCACAGTGTTCGTTTAGTTGAGCACTATGCAGTAGCATCTATACAGTGAAACCCATTACACTAGCAGACGACTAGCATCGTTGACAATACCAGTAAGAAAAAAAGTGCAATATTGCATGTGTATTTCTTTAGTCGAGAAGAATGACGCCTGGCGGCATACCTGTAGAAAATATCCGACAGTAAACAATGGTGCAAAACAAGTCGAAAGATTTTAAGGCTTTCTGAGTTTCCTGATGTGTTTTTTTTTTTTTTGTTCTCTGAGATAGTTTGTAAGAGGTCCGCAGGAGGGACCGTTTTGGAGAGAGATCGTTTCCCGGGCTCTCCTGCGTGAATATACACACACACATACAAATGCGACGCGCAAACATTCGCACACAAGCAGCACTATTCTATTCAAGCGTGTACTGTCACCCCTAATATAAGGTGTATTACTTCTAGTAGTTCATATAATAACATCTTTACCATTGAAGCTGCAAGCATAGATATTTATCTACACGTATCCACATTTCTATTAAACACATTGCTATATGTACCAACATGTCGACACTGCATGGACAAACAAAAGAGTTCCTCCAAGTGGAAAATAATAATAATAATAATAATAAATGCATGGTCTAATAACGTTAATTAAAAAACAAACTACTATTTCAGTTGCCATGCTGATACTACTAATAAAAAACAAAAGTAAATTAAGTTGACAATAACTTATTACAATTTCAGAAGGGAAAGCTATGTGGAAATGCGGCATTACAGGCAGTGTTTCTACCCAAAAGAAACGCACTGGCCGTTTCGGTTCAATCGTTGTTTGGTTTCAAAGGGTGTCAAGAATCAAATTCATGAGTAACACACAAATACTTTATGATAATCTGCAACTGAATCTGGTTATTGTGTCATACAGCATGTGTGGACAAGCAAAACCAGAGAGGGTTAGCCATTCTGGCTATACAAAAAGACATGACAAAGAAGAAACTACTGTACTGTAAAAAGACTAAGAACAAGTAAACTTTCCCTTAAACTGTGACGCATCCTTTAGGGGTTTCTAAAACATGGCTGACAAGTGATACCCCAAGATGACCGATGGAAAATATTGTGCTACTGCTGGTGGCAATTTTATCTGCATGCATCCGAAAAAGTGTTTTACGGTATTTCAGACGAATCTATTCCACCCAAAGCAAGCAATTTAAGAGCAATGTTGCGTTCGGCATCACTTGTCGGTCATGTGATCATTTAATCACGCGACTCGGGAATGTGCTTGAGCATTTGTGTCTCCTTCGCCCATTTTGGTCATCACTGGTTGGGCGAAGGGGTTTGGAGGAAGACATGGTGAAGTTCTGCATTTTTGGCCTGTGGAAGTGAGGACTGAGCTTAAAAGGATCCCAGCATGCACGGCGATCGAGTCAAGCTGCAGTGTCTGACAGAGGCGGTGGTCACAGTGCAGAAGGCAGGGGTCCCGGTGAGGGGGCGTCTACACGGCAGTGCTGGCGTACTCTGAGGAGGAGGTGGAGGCGGTGGTGGACTGGGTCAAAGCGGATCCCTGAGCCGAACCTTTGCGGTTGATCATGGAGGGGTGGAAGTTGGGGTGCCGGCGGGCGTGCTTGATGAGGTGGTCGCTGCGCATGAAGCGCTTGTCGCAGAGTGGGCACAGAAAGCGTTTCTCGCCGGTGTGGGTACGCAGGTGTCGGGCCAACTCATCGGAACGGGCAAAC